GTAGTTGTTGGGTCACATCCAAAACTACTTTACTCTCATATAAGCACCTAGACAGAGGATTGAAGCAGTCATCAAAACCATCAGATGCCTCATTAGGATCATAAAATTAGGTTATTAAGGTTACTGCTGATCACGATTATGGGCTTAGCATTTGGTAGCCGTCAAAGTGGCTTTACGTTCAAAGTAATAAGAAAGCTAAGCATGGATTCATGACGGACAGTGAGCCAAGGAGCTCCTAGATTAAAGAAACAATCATCCTTAGGCTTTTAATAAAAGCAATTTGCGAATTCCAACCAATCGATACTGAATACGAAAATAAATATCCAATGTAGAAATTAATAAACAAATCCTATAAAGCATAGATACAAAACATTTTTAAATTCTTGTTATCCAAGTAAATATTGCTTAATCAATGGCTGTCTTTAGGAACAGACTAGGACACAACAAAAGCAGTCTATTAAAGGATTCTTCGAAATAGATTTTTCTTCATAAGATAAAGCCAAGCAAAGGCCAGATCGAATTTAAAAATTGACTTCTTAGCGTCATTTAGACAAACTTTTCCCAGTTTTGCAGGAATAAATGATGATATCATTATTTAGGTTTGGAAAAAAACATCTGTTAAGGTCAATAATTAAATAGTAGTGCTGTTCTGTAAAAGCCATCCCTGTAGAAGTTTATTTCTTGTGAGCTCACCGATGAAACTAGTACGTGATCTTGTCTGATGCTTATGCTAAGTTTTCTGAATTTATCTTGTGACTAAAGAGAATTCTAACACAAATCAGTCAAAGTAATTGGCAGAAATGTGACAACGCTCATCCGACAATATAAAATCGAAGAAATGGGGTAGTCAGAGGGAGGATGCATGTGCGAGTCAAATACAGGCAATTAGACCAATGAGGGACCATGTGAGTGAAGTGTAGTGATCAATATTAAAGGATTAACTAAGTCGGAAATTATAGCTCAGCACGTACTAGGCATCAAAATCTAATGAAGCAAACCAAGAAAGTTACCTAGAGACATCTACACATGAGAAAGTGATAGTGATTGTGATGACTTCTGTTTAAGTGTAAGTGGCAATTGAAAGAGCAAACGTAAACACAGATGAAGGCGGATGCGGGTTTATGTCGTCACAATAAGTTGGCTTTTGATGCGAGAATAGCTGCCTCACTGGTAACACTTGAGATTTCAGAATATTGGTGCAATTTATTCCCGAAACAGTTAATCACAGTACAAATTAAAGCAGACTAAATATTGTACCAACTTAAGACAAGGTAAGAGGAGGTGGGAAGTCATTTACATTCTTATATCCTCAAATAATTGCTGATGTATGGAAGGTGATTAAATAACAAGTTATTCATAATAGATACCAATGGCAAATTGAGCTGTGAATACGCGTATGATTAATGGGCAATAGCGAACACTAAGTGATATATGAAAGTATTCATCATAGATAGACTAGGCTCACAATCAGAGAATAAGGAATGAAGCATAAGCAGAACGCGCTAAATACTTTGAGCTATGGGGTTTGGACTTGCCTGGTCGTGGAGGACACTGTGTCGGTGTGAGAAGGTGCCGCGTTCCACGTCTTGGCCCGAAAGACGCACATGTCTACCCTCTTTCAGCAAAGAGCCATAAGCGAACATCTCACCTAGCGCCCAATTGGCTTCCCTCTGACTAACAAGTTTCTCCCGTTCTTTCAAAGTTCGACTAAGGCCTGGATGTAATGAGAAATCAGGCGGCACTGTACTCACCGCCATACCTAAAAAGGCGCCAAAAGTATGCGTGAGATCATTTAAAAATGCCTTCAATGCAGGCAAGGAAGTTATTAAAAGGAAAGTTAAAGAAAAAGCAGTAATTATATAATGCTGAAAAAGGTGGTCACTAAATAATAGGATAGGTATCCCAGAAAATTTCATTCAGATAGCTACCTATCGGTTACGATGAAAGATAATACTATACAAGTAAGAGTTCATTCAAAAACTCTGAGAGAGAAGGATGAGCATCTGGAAGGTAAGGTAAACTCGAACA